CGTCTGTATTAGAAAGCAGTGATTTATAATTTCACTATTTTCGATATGTTTTTTTTACTTAATTTTAATTTGCACCCTTAAGTCAGTTTTTATCTCAGTTAAAGAAATCTTCCTACCAAGTTCTTTTTTCTTTTTTTTTTTTGCACTTGCACTGTTGGAGTTTTTGTTCTAAGATTATGGTTAAATAATTCCACCCAATTAGCCATAGAATTTTTTGGTAAAGAAAATTTTTTACGTTTACAATTTTGAAACCGTTTACAACTAGTATGGTTTAAAAAAACATGAATACAAAACTATACGGGTCCTTAGCCATTTACAACTGTCATGGTTTCAAAACCGTAAAAAAAAGATATTAACTGGAAATTGGAGATAGTTCAGCAGCTTTATGGTGTTGCCATCTATGTATGAATGAGAGTATCGTATTTCAATACTCCAGGGTCACAATTTGAGGAGTACATGTCAATAGAATGTCTTTATTTGTTGATAAAAATGGAGGAAATGTTGATGTGGTAATGATGGGACACGAACCTCTGTTCTGTCGGTTATGAGAGTGACAGATTATCCCTCTTGTCTATAATATGCACTTATCTCCAGGGAATTCAGTGGCTTCACTAGGTGCGCTTAGTTGGTGAGATAAAATTCTGGTTGTTTAACAGTATAAGGTGAAAACAATAATTAAACAGTTTTCTTCACAGTTAACAGTTTTGCCTAATTATTTATATATAATATGACTGTTTTGTTCAATTATGGTAAAAAAACAATTAAATAAATTGTTATTTAGCCATTTTTCCAAGAAATTTCCAGCAGTGTAGAACTAAAAATGTTTTCTGTCATAGAAAATCGCCTTGTAGTGATAAAGAGGAGTAAAAAAAATTTCGATGCTTTAAAAAATATTGTTCCTTAACAAAAACACAGTAGTTCTTAAGTAAATATTTTCTAGTACGAAAGAGCTGGAACCGTAACGTATCTTTAAATAGAGAATGTCGTTATTTAAAGTTTTGTTAAACTGAGAGTCAGGTGTATGTTATTTTATAACTTGCTGAAAGCTAGCTTTTTATACGGGATAAAAAAAAAAAAGCAAATACTTAATAAATTGGTATTTATCAAAGCTGCAACAAAACTAGAGTGCAAGCATCAATATAATCTATAAAGACAAAATAATTCCAGTTCGTTTCTATTTACTATAATTTGTTAAATTCCCGGTGGCTTTATGTTATCAAATTAAGCAAAACACGTTTTCAGATGTTCATTTCGTCAAATTAAAATTTAACTGTTTTCATTTGGCACAATGCTATTGCTCGAATATAAATGCTCGAAACACAATGCTATTGCTCGAAGCTCACCCGTGATGGTCCAAACATTGACCAAAATCAAAAAAAAAAAAAAAAAAATTCCAGTATTTATGTCTTTAGAGATACCATAAAAGACTTATTATCACAGTACATAATATTAAGTACATTGGCATCAAAATTAAATACCTTTATCAGTACATTTGGCACTTATTAAAACAACATCTATTACCACAATACCAGTAGTACATATTACCAACATTAATTGAGCTTAATTGGCGCCAATAATAACCTAGCGATTTTTTTACGGTACCTCTAACCTTTTCTTCATTAATTTTGCTTCTAAATATATAACTTGTTTTTAATTTCAACAAATTGCTATTGATTTCAAATTACTTATTTTCATTTTAAAAAAAACTAACTAAATATAATCTCGTTTTCCAAGGGATATAAAATTACTCCATTTGCTAGATAATTATTTCCATTATTTTTTTAATTATTAAAGAAATCTCAAAAATTTCAAAGTTTTTTGACACGGACCCCTTAAAAATTGCGTGACTCATTGTTCTGTATGCGTTTTATGTTAAGATGGATATATTTCATGTATCTTTTCTTATGAAATGTTAAGCCTACACTAATGAAATGTGTAAAACCTACACTAATCTGTTAAGCCTACACACCTGTTAAGCCTACACTAAGGAAATGTTACAGTAAAAAACAAATATTTAAGATACTACTTTTTGAAAAAGATTATTAGTTAAAATTTTAAAAAGAAACTTTAGTTAAATTAAAACATTCTAAAATTCAATTTTTTAAGTAATAAAAAAATATTTATTAAGAAAACGTAAACAAATATTTTACAACAAAAAAAAACATACAATAGTACAGAACGAACAGTACTTACAGAAATAAACAGTACGTAAGGATGGTTTTTTTAAAAAAAAAAATTCTAAACTGATCTACAGTAAATGGCTGGACAAAGGTTTAAAAACACAGATTTTAGAAAATCGCATTCAAAGTATAAAAAGCCGTCTTTCTCACAGATTTTAACAGTTAAATTATTTTTATTATTCAGTATTTTAATGAAATTGGTTTTAATTATAAATTATATTTTTTTCCTGTCGTTTCGTGATAAAAAATGATTATTTATTAATGTTGCATATTAGTTTACGACAGTGAGAGATCACCAGATTTAATGGCATTATTTTATTTTATTTATTACAAATACTTTGCTGAATAATTTTTTCTAACAATAATTTAATACCATTAAAAGTGAATGGATCATTTTATTTAGACTTATTACGGAATCTTTAATCATTGGGAAGATTCTAAAATAAGTATTCTAAATGTTTAAATTTATTGCTTTCGTAAATTTACTGTTTGGAAGCCCTAAAATTTCATTTCATTTAAACGTAACGAAAAACTAAAACGAACGCTAAGTGTAAAGTTAAGCTAAATTATCATTCGATGAAAATTTAAAGTTTCGCAGTTAAGACACTGTTTGTTAAAACACGGTTCCCAGCAGATCACCGAAGTCAAGCATCACCCGCTGGCGAATTGACAAAACATACCGTAGATTGCAAAGGATTGGCGAAAATTCCTATTAGCGTTAAATGAGCGTTTTCGCAAATCGCCAAGCAGCTGTGTGCTTATGTTTTTGTTTTGTTTTCGGTATCGCATAATATTCAACAAGTTAGATAGGGGTGCGACATTTCAATTAAGCGGGTCTTCATTTGATTCTTCTGCATCAAATAAAATATAAAGCTTTTTTTTTTTTGTTATAGCGCCGACATTCTCGTTTGTATCTGTTGACTAAATTGTGTTTATTGGCGTTTTTTAAAAGGTTGTAATAGAACTAAGATAGAAAAATTACACATTATTACATATTCTATAGTTTCATAACTTTCATTAAATGTATTTCGAGTAGTGAAATTCTTTTCCTTCTCATACACTAATTAGAATTAATAATTTCACAATAACCTTTAATCCTTAATAATGAAATGATTATTATAATAAAGTTTGTGTACTTAAAAGATTAAAAAAAAATTTTTTTTTATTGTTTATCAGAGAGTTTCCAATTCTATATTAATTAAACTTAATGGTTCTGCTCGATAACCATTTACAATTGTTTTTAAATTTTATTTAATTTTCTGTTATTATGAAATTCTTTAAATATTTTTCGACGTAGAGATTATTTAGCAATAATGCGAAAAGCTGAAATTTGTAAAACAGATGAACCTCTTCTCATTTTTAAGGCTAACTCACTTTTATGATATAAAATTAAGTGATATAAAGTTAAGTGATATGAAATTAAATGCTAACAAAAAAAAACATAATTGTTTATCTATTTAAAACAGCTTTATCGCTCATAATTGTTTAATTTGTTTTTACTTATAATTATATCAGTTGGGATCATTTTATAGACGCTAAATTTAATTCATCCATGCGACTTTTCACGACGCTAATAAAAGTGTTATTTCCGCACCAAGAAAATGACACTGAATAAAATTAAAAACATTTGCGAAAAATTATGTACCATTCGATAACAATTTTGAAGTCTATGGACGTAACCTCTAAGAACAACCAACCTCTATCAGCAACCATTTTACTGTGGAATGGAAGAGTGGTCGCTCGCGAAAGGTTTGTATACCACACTTCCTTTTAAAAAACACTGATTGTAGAATTGTACTATAATAATTTTGTCAGAAAAAAAATCAACGGAGAATCCATGATACCACGGTCTGTTTTATTTTATGTCTCATCTCCGTCGTTGAACAGCCGACCCAATTTTGACAACTAGCGTTCACCTCCGTAGCCTTGTAATTTTGAGCCAATCCAGAAGACAAGGAAACTCCTGGATCAGTACCCCCAGAGGTATTTTATTTTATATTTAACCGTCTTTAACCGGCCTATCCTATTTTCGAGTTTGCGAGTACTAACATTCACCTCCGTAGCTTTGTAATTTTGTACCCAATCCTGCGTTACATGGAGTGGAAAACCTCCCACAGTTACCCTGCAGGAAAGAGGACTCTTACCCATGATTCGTCGATCACTGAGGATGTTTCAATTCAGCACTTTGGTCGGTGCGAGCCGGATGCGGAGTTCGTTTCGACCAGCCATAGCCAGGATTCGAACCCGGTTCACCTCATTGGAAGGTGAACGCTCTATCCCCTGAGCCATCGCGGCTCCCCTAGAGGTATTGATTTGTTGTGGGCGCATGGAGGACTTTGCGACGCGACAGATTTAATGTGCATCGGTTGCCATTATTTCTTCTAGGAACTTGTGCTGCCTTGATTGTTTAGACATTTTTCTGGGTAAAAACCAACAGTTAGTTGGAAGTGAAGTAAAGCTATCAAAATAAAATATAAGCTACTTGCCAAAACATTAAGTTTTTGCCATTTTCTCTCACTACGCAACAGTCTTTGCAGAAATACGCAACTAATTGAATGAAATACGTTGAACACGCGTTACATCGTCATTTCTGATCCGATCACCTTATAAAGCAATAAATTGTTCTCCCGGTCAAATGACCAGTTATGGTAGAAATAGGAATGCGACATGTATTATTTGAAACAAACAAAATATAAAAAAAGAAGAAGAATAGAATATTAACTGTGATTGTTAGAATAAGTCATGAAGTCAAATGTGCAAAAACGGTAAGCATTTTCGATACAAAAGTTCTTAAACGGTCATTTGAATGGTTATGGTATGTTTAGTGTTATAGTATGCATTTGAGTTAAACCAAATCTCCAGAAGAGAAATACCTGAGACATTCTAATTTGGACAGTTTTTTTCCAGGAGGTTCCGTAGTTGGTAGAACATCACTTAATCTGTCGAATCCTTCATTCATCTCTTGTATGCTACTTCTCTTTCGAATGCAGGCAATTCTCTTTTTTTCTTCCCTGGACATTCCACCGCCATTATTCCTTCCACGATCTAAAATCGAATGAGTCATAGTTATTGAACATTAGAAAAAAAAACATTTTATAGATCGCTAATAATGAGTCCACTAAACTAATGATTAAGAAGAAAAACGCGAGCAAGTTATATTCGAAAAATATGTAAGCTGTCTCAAAAGTTTAAAAGTTTGCAGTTTCAATCATCAAATTGGGAATGTTTATGACTTCGAAGTTTCGAATGTTTTCGAAGTTTGTTTAATCCATTCTAAGTTTTTGAATTTTTCCTTATTATCATGATCCATGGCTTATAACCGTGGTCGAGCAGCCGACCCAAATTTTCAGTTCACGGCTAGAATTGTTCAACTCCGTAGGCTTGTAATTTTGAACCTAACCCAGAAGACAAGGGAACTCCTGGATCAACTACTTGATGAAATTTGCCTTCTTGGAGGACTTTTTGAAGAACCTAACCAGCATTTGCGTTACATAGAAAGGAAAACCATGAAAACCTCCCACAGTTAGCCTGAAGGTAAAGAGGACTCTATCAAATGATCCGTCTACCACTGAGGATATTTTACATCAGCATTGTGGTCGGCGTGTGCCGGATGCAGAATTCGTATCGACCAGCCATCGCTGGGATTTGAACCCGGTTCACCTCATTGGAATGCGAAAGCTGTACCTCCTGAGCCATCACGATTCAAGTTTCAAGAATTATATTATTATGCAAGACATATTCAATCAGTAATATCGTTAATTACTAATTTAGCTCTTTTCAAATTTTTACGAAATTCACCAAGATGTCGGATGGGGCGAATAAACAACATCAAAATGGAAGGAGAAAAAATAACAAATATTTTATATTTGATTGAACCAAAATAGTATTAATTTAACTGTATAACTAGGAATTTATTTATTTTTTTTAAAAAACTTAGTTTATTCTTTTTTAAAACATTTAGTCATGCTTCATTATCATTTTCAACATTGGCATGGCAGTTCGAGATGGGTCTTGGCCTTCTCTAGAATTCTCCATTACTTTCTCGTTTTAGCAAATTCAATGCACTGATTGTTTCAAAATCTGTATTGTTTTGCTCGATGGATGCTTTTGAGCCGTGGTAGCTCAAGGGATAGAGCATTCGCCTCCAATGAAAAGGCTGGTCGATACGAATTCCGCACCCAACTCGCACTGACCATAGTGCTGACGTGAAATATCCTCAGTGGTTGACGGATCATGGCTTAGAATCCCCTTGTTGCCTGGCTAACAGTGCAAGGTTTTCGTAGTTCTACTTTCTATGTGACGCAAATGCGAGTTAGTTCCATCAAAAATTCCTCAACGTGGGGAAATTTCACTCCATACTTGATCCAGGAGTTCCCTTGTCTTCTGAATTGGGTTCAAATTTACAAGGTTAAGAACATTAGTGCTAGCAAACCAAAAGATTGGGTCGGCAGATCTACGGCGGTTATAAAATTAAATAAAATCTGTATTAATGTAGTCCAGCCATCGAGGTTTAGGACATCCTCTAGCCTCTACTACCAAATGATTTGTGCGAGTTTGAATATTTTATGTGTTAGGCTAGATATATTTAAACGGCAAATGTGTCCTTTAAATTCCATCCTACTTAACTTAATATATTTAATATGCAAATAACATTAGTGTGCGGCATAACTTTCCCTGTGTATTCTTATCTTCAATAAAATGCCAACCAACTTCTCAATCTACACAAATCGACAAGGAAATTTGTATATTTTCAAAGAAAATTGAAATTTGTTTGTATTTATACCCACAGTATATAGTGTTGTTCATATTGTAGATTAAAAAAAATTTTCTTAGAAAATCTTCAATAAAGTTCAACGATTAATGGTTTCAAACTTCAGACGAAAACATTAAACCGAACCTAAAATTAAATACTGTCAATGGTTGATATATTATATAGCAGGGGTTTCCAACTTACATGAGGCCGGGGACCACAATTAAAAACACAAATCAAATGGCGGGCCGCAACTTTATCAAAATTTTTTGTAGGACTCTTTTTTTGTTTGAAGAAACATTAAATATTACTGTTTTACCAAGTTGTAAAAAACAAAAGTATTGAATTACAAATTAAATTAAGAAGTAGATTTTCAAAAATATTTAATTGTTATTAATAATAATTTTATACACATAAATAAATAATAAAAATTCGGCAACAATAACTTTAATGAGCACCTATGTATTAAACAATTAATGTGCAATAGATATCTGAATGTTAAGGTATTAAAGTTACATAAAAGAACACAATATATTCAATGAGAAAATTGAGGTTTGTCTGCTGCAACCACCAGAGAATCTATATTTACATTTAAAATTTACAAATGTGTGTGTAAATATTTTCGTCCAAAATGAGTGGTTTCAAAAAGTTAAATCGGAGAATTTTTTCGAGAAAATTTTTGATACGCACACGCTAAATTATATTCACAAAATACAAAAAAAAAAAAAATAAATAAAAAAAAAATAAGAAAGAGCAACATACACGATTATTTTTGTATTTGAATAAATATTTTCTTGGATGCAAAACCTGAAAAATAAATTTCCTTGCACCATTGGTATGTTAAATTTCTCAGAAACGAAGAAATTTGGTTTTTATTAACGAGAAAAGTATTTTAAATACATATCGAATTTTTACGAAAATTGTCCGCAAAAAAATGACAACTGATATATTTTAGCTCGCGGGCCACAAAAAAAGGCTTCGCGGGACGGATGCGGTCCCCGGGCTGCCAGTTGGAAACCCCTGTTATATATCATCTTAGATCCTTTAAACGATAATGAACCTTATAACGTGAGAACAGCATATCGTGAGTGCACAAAAAATAGTATAAATATTAATTCATATTTAAAAAATACTGAGCTAGTTTTGCAAAAACAACGATTTATTTAAAAAGAATTAAGGAATTGAGATTTTTTCCAAATTTACTTTCTTCTTTTTACATGTTAATACTATAAACAAGCACGCACTATTTCAATATTGGTTTAAAAAAATTTATAAATAAGCTAGTGGTCAGCTATTTTTGCTGTATAACACATGTCCAGAAAAATGCAAAATCTGCACAAGGAAAAAAAAATTCTGAAGGTTATTAATATCACATGATTTAACTCAGAAATATACTAATCGAAAAGAAGAAACATTTTACGAAAAGGGGCAAATAAAATTGTCTAACATGAAAATTTGATTGATCACACCCTTAAAAAAGAAATTCACTAGGATTTGAGATGCATCTTTTACAATCTTAATGGTAACGTGCACAAGACACTACACTAATATCAGTACTATGAAGCAATAACTTTTGGGTATAAATACTAACTAAATAATTGTTTTTCGCTCACGCTAAAAATTAACTGTTATTTTTTATTTGTTATTATTTACTGTTATTTATTTGTTGTTATTTATTTGTAATTATTTAATAGTTATTATTTATTTGGTATTATTTAATTGTTATTATCTTCGGGATATAGTTGACTGAAGGAAAAACATGGATATTTTAGATTAATAATAATGGTCTTTCGCTTACGGTTAAAACTCATTGTTATTATTTAATTGTTATTACTTAATTGTTACCATTTAATTGTTAATATTTAATTGTTATCACTTTATTATTATTTAATTTTTATCACTTAATTATTATTATTTAATTGTTGAGAAACTTCAGGATATAGTTGACTGTAGGAAAAACATGGATTTCTTAGATTAATAACAATTGTTATTCGCCTACGGTAAAAATTAATTGTTATTATTTAATCATTATTTAATTGTTGAAGAGCCTCGGGATAATGTTGACGATAGGAAAAACATGGATTTCGTAGATTAATAATAACTGTTATTCGCTTACGGTAAAAACTCATTGTTATTTATTATTGCCTAATTATTATTATTTAATTGTTCTTATGTAATAGTTAATATTTAATTGTTCTTATTCAATTTTTATTATTTAATTGTTGAAGAACATAGGGATATAGTTGACTATAGGAAAAGCATAGATTTCATAGATCAAGTGCAACAACTTCCAAAAATTGTCCACGTAAATTTTTGATACTCATCAAAACTCAATCGATTCCACTGCCGTTTTCTGCAGAGAATCTACTAGCTCAGTACAAAATGAAATTTTCGCACTTGATGCAATATCTCCTTTGATTAGTAATTATGTAAATTAATCGACATTTCATCAACTATTTGATCATTCATAAGTAATTAAGATAAAAAAATTTTTGCCTCTGAGTTTAATTAATTTTTATTTACTTACTTTGTTTTTAACTTTTACATTTTTTCCCTGTAGGAAGCATTATTCTTCGAAAATGCAAGATAAATTTTTGAAGTAACTTTCTCGGGAATGAAAAAAAAAACATAAATAAACTAAATTTTAGTCAGTATATCGTATTAAACGGTTTCGTTAAATCGGTTTATGAACTGCACGCAGACACTTTAAAAAAAACAAAAAAACTTTAGGTAGGTAGTTACTTTCTTTACGTCGCACTAGAATTTGCACAATGAGCTACTACCGACGGTCTGGGAAACATCCTTGAGGACGACTCCCTTGCTTTGATAGCCCAACGACTTGAGCGCGAAGCCGAGTACTTTACGTTAGAAAAGTTTAACGAGGACCGATACCGCGCAATCCGGTCCTTACGCAATTTGATCAAAGTGGTCACCCACCCGCTTACTGACCGCAGACAGTGATGTCTTGACTTCGGGTATTTTACTAGGAACCGTGTCTTTACGATCAGTCCACAGCGGGACTAAAAAAAAAACTTTGCAACTATGGAATAGCAAACTTACCTTAGGGAATCAGGTCGCTTTTGTGGAAGAATCCCTTTAATGGTGCTGGGATAGTGAAATTGCGAAGGAAAATATAACTGACTTTTACAGAATAACAAAGAGATCAAATGTAGCTAAATTTCGACATACGCTAATGCTTAACAAAAGGGAATAAACTATTAATTGCTAGTTATTAAAATACCAGACGAAACTAACCTCTGTTCCTTTTTCTCAAAATGGACAAGTATTTCATTCCTTTCAGGTATGGCTTGCTTCGTCTGCGATTCTGAAAGTGGTGAACGGTTCTCGAAGCAAATCGATCCACCGATGGACTTGGCATATTATCGGTCCGTATATATGTCGGTCTTTATTATTATATGTATATTTCATCTAAAAATCTCTCTATGTTCGGTGCAATCTGACTGTCCCAGCTGCCGTTGCCACCTGTTGATCCCCCCCCCCTCTCGCATACGTTTTCAACGAATTCTATAATGATATCAATCTGGTATGAATATACTAAACACATTTTTTTTACCTCCTGTAAAACACAAAGTCTGTAAATTTACTCAAACAATTTCCACACTTTGTGGCAAGTGTTAGTGAGTTTTATTGTGTAAACAACTGTTGTATGCCTTGGCAAGTGAACTCAGTGTTTTTTTAATACTTAATAGTGAATCGAAGATGGTATGAACTGATTTATGGAATAGCGCCTCATTTTCTTTAAAGGTCGTATAGTTTTTAACCTTTGTGACTTGAGAGATTCTTTCTCTGCCATCTTGGATTTTTGATTTAATTTTTGTTTTCTCTATGGATTTTTAATAATTTTTTTTTTCATGATACAGAACCATTCGAAAGCTCTATTAGTTCCAAAAAGAGTGAAACATAAAAGCTCTTCTTTATTGGATTAGTAGAAAAAGCACTTGGTAATTTTTTTTTTTTTTTTTTAGAAATGCAAGGAATTTTTAATTGAAACTTCTAAAGCAAAGCAAAACAATATTGTGTGCTTAGTAAGTTTGAAAAGGTAATTGATTTCTGTATATTAGTCAGTTTTTATAATTTATGAAAATTGCTTTCATTGTTGTTTTATTAGGCAAAAACCGATTTGGATGCTGTTTAAAAAAGTTTTACAGCCCTAATTACGGAAAAAACAAAGATATTAATCAAGAATAAAAAACAGATGAAGGTATGATACAAAATCACCTTTTAAAAATGTTGATAGTAGAATTGTATTGTAATAATTTTATCAGAAAAAGTCAATAGAGAATCTACGACACCACGTGCTGTATTTCTCAAATTCTTATTGGACGATGACTTCATATGTTATATTTTTCGAAAGATTTTGCCGGGTAGTATAAATATCCAACATCAGTTTGGGAAAAGGAAATAACTCTGATTAAAATTATGTTTCGAATACCCCCTTCCATCTATTTCCCAGTCGATTAAATATTTTTTTTTCTTATCTTAATTCATAAGAGTATCAAGCAGCAGAAAAATTATTATTGCACTGTGATTAAACTTAATTCTACTATGATGTTAGATGTAAGAATTTAACTATATGGAAGAATTAAATGCTGTTGCAAATATTGAAGAACTTATACAAAAATAGAAGAACTAGGGGAAGTAATCCTGCAGTAATTTAATTATATTTTGACCTTAAAAATACCAGCATTTTTAGCTGTATTATTTATTCTTGGTTTATCAGAACGAATTTTTTCAATACTTCAATTTTGAGCCACAATGACTCAGGGGATAGAGCATTCGCCTTCCAATGAGGGGAACCGGGTTCGAATCTCAGCGACGGCTGGTCGATAGGAATTCCGCCTCCTGCTTGCACCGACCACATTGCCAACGTGAAATATTTTCAGTGGTAGATGGATTTAGGGGTTAGAGTCCCCTTGCTGCCAGGCTAACCATGGGAGGTTTTCGTGGTTTCCTTCTCTATGTAACGCAAATGAGGGGTACATCAAAAAGTACTCCATGAGGGCAAATTTCTTCCAATACTTGATCCAAGAGTTCCCTTGTCTTCTGAATCGGGTTCAAAATTACAAGGCTACGGAGTTGAACATTAGTAGTTGTAAACTCCAAAAATTAGGTCGACTATTCAACGACGATTATAAAACTAAAATAAATACTTCAGTTTTATAATATAGTTAGTAATGTAGTAGAAGGAGAATTTGCAATTAAGCGTTTCTCTTGTGATATAGCTTCCTCGCACATCACCCCGTTAAGATGAGTGAAACAAAAAAATTTTAAATTTTACAATCAGAAAATAATACGTTTTTATATATTTCTTTATCAAATAGTTCATTAATAACTTTATTCTCTTGACTAGAATAATTAGGCATGAAAGTGACTAGAATATTTAAGTATATAAGTTTTAAATTTGTAACATATTGTTGGAAATATTGATATGATGTGAAAATATTTGTAACAAAATAGTTTAATTCTTTTAGTGAAGCAAATTAATTACATGAATGAATTACGTGAATGAAATAAATGAATTATATGCATCTTATTTTTCAAATGTTAAAGGGTACCTTACTTTTTCCAATTCGCCAAATTAATGTACTTAAATTTCAATAAATTTATATTGATTATTCGGTCACGTTTGTTGAGCTATGCATGAAATTGACAGATTTTCAAGCAATAACTAAATTAAATTATCAATAGTACTGTTCAATTATATACATAAAATTTAATTTAATTTGCTTATAGCAAATTATATCAGCGGTCAGTTGTTGAATTTATTACAAATTAGATTTTTAAAAATAAGATTATTTATTAATATTGTATTAGATAATTCATATTTTTTTCCTAGCTTCACTTATTTAAGAAGTCTTCTGTAGTGTTAATGAAATAAAAATTGCAGTAAATTCTTAAATTTCATAAATGCCTAAACCACAACAACGCTTATTAATTAGTTTGCAGAAGTTTAAATTAATCTAGTATAACTACGCTTACTCTAGTATAACTCTAGTATAGTACGCTTTAAAATCACTGAATAAAAAGTAATATATCAAAGCAAAACTACCACTTTAAATATAAAATCCTCCGGATAAAATAGGAAAAGTTACAATCTATCTTTAAAAAAATTTGTATTTGTAAATTGAGAGAAAAAAAAAACTGTAGGGTATACCGGGCAAATGTACACCGTACAGTGGCAATTAACAAAACTAAATATTTCGGACATTTACCAAAGTGACTATGTGATTGTCAACTTTATAGCTGCAACATGAATGGAAAAAATTCCAGTAAATTTTACGAAATAATATGAATTTCCTGATAATTGCTGCTTTACGTATTAAATGTTTTACGCATAGGGAATTTTCGGGATTTTTATAGTCCTCAAAATAGAAAAACTGCAATATTTTCCAGTTATATGATTGACATTAAATTTGCTCGAAATGTTTTGTATTATGTTTACTCATAATTTTGAATAGTAATAGCCATTTAATTCATCAAAAATGGTTAAAAGAATTCTTAATTTGTTTACAAAAGGAATTCTGAATAAAAAAAAAATTATTATTTAGAACATTTTAGAAAAAAAATAATAAACTAATTTCTAAAACTGAGGATCGCTTCATTACACCTGTTTAAATAGTCCAGTAAGCAATAATCTGTGCAAAAAATGTATTTCAATAGGAATTTTTCTTAGAAAACTTACTCAATTTTAGGGATTTTGTCAAAATGTTAAAAAGCGAGGAGAATTTTTATTAAACCAATAAAACAGGAGAAACTGGCAAAATCCAGTAAAGTTGGCAACTATGCAACATTTACCGGTGAAAGTCAACAACCACCAATTTTGGCCATTCACATTAGCAAATATAAGAACAAATGAAATGGAGTAAAACCACTAACAAAATAAATACGTGCAGTCCCTGGCGAAATTATTCTATGCACTCTATAAGATTCTATGTAAAATCTTAATTATCAGGTGGTACTATACAGCTTTATTGTTTTTATGTGACTGAAACCGGTTTGCACTTGTTTACGTTCGTGTATCAATGGGTTAAATTAGACGATATATTACATGAATATAGAATATCAGGTATATTAGTATATTTTGATAATTAGGTCAAATTATTATGCGCACTGTAGTTTTTTAATAATTATATGTTTTGAACGAGTTTATATGCAGTACTTTAATATTTAAACATACATGCAATGGGTTTTTATTCAGGAGATTTTTTATATACTTCCCATTTGTATTTATTTTTAACGTATTGCATTACAATATTAACCAATCGATACAGAAGTGTAAGCAAATGCAAACCGGTTTCAATCACATAAAAAACAATACAGCTGCATAGTATCACCTGATAATTAAGATTTTACATCGAATCTGATAGTGCGTAAAATAATTTGGCTGTAATTAAGAACAAATAAATATGAAAAACAACGAAATATTTTCTTAATTTTAAAAGACATGTACCAACCTTTTGATTTAAAACTGGTATATCTTGACAAAAATCCTCGACCCCTTGTTCTTCTGCTCGTGACGGTAGGCAATCGAACGTTTCTTGGTTCCTCAAACCACAATCCGGAGGTAGTCGGGTGAATATACGGATCCGGGGATTGGAGTTCAGTATACGTAGTAGCATCTTTTATGTAGTTATCAAATACTTGGATACACTGTGGGGCATTCTCGGATAAATAAAAAGAAGAATCCGAAATAACTGCTACGTTTTCTTGACGAACTGAAACTGTCTCATCTTCTTCAATACAAAAAACATTCATTTTTTGTCAATTTGAAATAGTTGACTAAGGTTAGAAAGTTTCAAATGAAATTAATTTATTTGCTTATTTAAATTAATTTCGTTGAATCCGTTTTATTAGTTTTATTATTACCGTAGACTTTATGTACAGAACGCTATGCTTAAATTAAAATTCATTAAAACAAAGAAATGAGACAAATTTTACGAACGGTTGAAATATTATTAAATCTAAATAATTATAAAAGATAAGAAAGTTTTAAGGAAAATATACTTTTGGTTTTATTAAATTAATTAAATTAAATCCACTGTATTAATCTAATTTTTCATTTGTGTTTTGAACATAAAACGTTCTTTTAAGCTAGTACACATTAGTAGACGAAATGGGAGAACTTCAACAAAATTTTGAATAATTATTAATATTACTAATTCTTAATAATTATCTAGAGTAAAAAAATTATAAAAGAAGTTTACTTATAACTGAATTTAATTAAATAAATTAAATCTTTTTCATCAATTTGACTCCAGCTGTTTACTTAATGTTTTAATTAAAATTCATTCAAAAGAAAATATGGGGAAAATTTTGCGAAATTTAAAATAAAGTTTACCTTTAATTATAAATTTTGTTTTCATCAAATTTTTTAAAGAAAAGGAAAAATAACAGCTTTCAAATAAAAATAAAAATAATTAATTGGGTTTAAAAATTGTTTTTTAAAAATATAAATAATAAGTATAATAAAAAATTGATATAACGAAAGAAACTTATGACGTTGACTTTTAAATCATCTGTGATTAAATTTGAGATGACACCCCAACAAAAAAATTATTATTAACCAGTTTTCTACTATAGAAAGCGTTTTTATTACTTTTGAAAAAATTATATTAAAATATGTAGCATAACACAAAATTAGAATGATGTAATATGAAAAATATCTTTACTTACTGGCAACTATGGGTTTAGCAACATCATCGTATACTTGTTCTTGGGATGAATTCGGATCAAATATTTGATCGAAAGTATACACCTTGTCCTATAGGAAGGCATATAAAAAGGGTATGAACAAAATAAATAATATAAATATATTATATCTTCCACAACTTGGATGAAAAAATTTAAGATTTTGCCCATCTATTCAATATGTGATATGTAGGCTATTATGTGATATAATAAATATGTGATAGCTAAATATGTGATATGTAGGCTATTAATTAAATAAATTTAATGAGGATTTTGTGCACTCTATAAAATAATTGCTTATTTAGGGTTTCCTTAAAACAAATGAAAGCTATTTTATAATAATAAACTTGTTTTAACAGTTAATGTTTGTAATAGGCATTAACGGACCTTCGATGGATTTGAATTACATTAATAGAATGTATTGAATAGTCAAAGGCATTTATTTACTTAAAAGAAAATTGAAAAATTATTGGAGAAGGATCTTAAAGAAATTTCAGAAACCATAGTAACAGCAACAAATATCTTATTAAGTGCAGATTTTCCTTAAAGCCTTATTCAATGATCTGGCAAAAAAAGATTAAGTAAATTCATTTCTTTGTAACGTAACTTTGAATTCAATATAGTATAAGATCTTCATTTATGCAAATAGAAATTTTTTTGCAATGGAGCTATTGTAAAAAAAATCTCTGTTCCTCACAGCTTGTATTAATAATTTCTTATAAGGAATACAATTTTTGAGTGCAAAATATTATTTAGATTATTTAAATTGTTAAAAATATTTTTAAAAAGATCCCAAAAATATTTTTATTAAATACGAGAACCCATGCATCATTTTACTGAAATTACTTTCATAATCTTCCCGAACCACTATTAAAATATGTATGAGATTGAGTTTTGTAAATTTATGTTCTTAATTAACTTTTCAAAAACGTTTAAACCTCTTCAAACGTTACCTCTTTGAAATTATTCTACTATTTAATTGAGAATATACAAAATTATTGAAGTGAAAAAAAAATCCATTGAAGAGAAAATGCGACTTATTTCCGTTTAGTTCAACAATGGATATCAACTGACAGTTGAATTATTTTAATACTCCTAACGCTTCTTTGCAATAGCCAAATTTTAAAACAAAACATCAACTAATAAAGCAGCTAAAGTTGAATAATGTATAAATCAATCTGAAATAAATACTTGAAATTAAATAAAAAATTACAAATTTCTTTGAATTAATTTAATGCGAACTAACATCTGCTATCTTCAAATGACCGAGATTATTTATTGTCATAAATATTACCACTTCAGCTGATGTAATTGTGAATCTGTAGCATTATAACCATATATCTATATGATGCATTTTTAAGAGCATTTTAGAAAGTGAAATAAATTATAAGGTTAATTGAAAACGGAAATAATGGAAATAACTTACAGAATGCAAATGTAATATTGATTTTTTATCTGGAAATTCATAACTGTGTACCAAAGCCTCCTTATCTTTTTCATTTTGCTCTCGTATACGGCAGCAGACTTTGATACTCGTATTTTGTTGAGATGCCATCTATGCATATAAGAAAAAATATCTTTACACATACAAATCATTGAATCAATCAATCAATCACACTTTCATACAAATCATTTAAATTCTCTTTACTGAAAGTTGAAAAAAATAGTTATAAAAATTTAATGTTTCCAATTAAAGTTTAGAATTTGAAAATGACATAATTACAATGACGAAAGTTCAATATCCATAAAATAAAAATAAAAAATATTACTTTTTTTTAGAATTAAATTAATAGAGGCCAAATGATATACATAAAAATCTCACGTGGATAAATAATTTCATAACTCTAGATAGTTTATGTAAGAACTGAAAAGAATCTATCTGAGAGAACTTAATAGAACATATAAATATTTGAAATATAAAATATTGTAGGTACAAAAAAAATTTAAAATCCTTAATTATTTTTTTAAAAATTTAAAATGCCGTGACGGTTTATCTAATACACAAAAAAAAACTTGTATATGCAAAAGAATTAAAATTTAAACTTGACTACAGTATTACTATAACGAAAGGTATAAATTCTAGTAATTATGTCAACATTTATATTTTTTAATTAGATTTTGGAAACCGACAATTAAAAATCGTTGGAATTTTTTAGAATTGATGTAAATTTTATGCATATTTTTTCATTAATAAAATTAGGGAATTCTCAATAAAAAAAATTAAAATTTTAAGAATTAAGGAAAGAGACTCGAAGTAAGAGCCAAATGGACGATTTAAGGCTCTAAAGGAAAGGCCACAATCAAAAACTTATGACTATAAATGAATAACAATATATGAAAAGTTCTCTTCATTATTTCATTTTTCGAAAGATAATCATACGTTTTCCTACTTTTAGAGTCTTGATAAATATTTTTTCGTCATCGACATTAAGAGATTTTTTGTGTTTCGCCAGTTAATAATAGTTAATTTAAATAGTCGCCATCAATAGTTAATTTAATGCAAGTCTCAACGCAGACAAAAGTACATTAAAAAATAATCTATTGGAATCTCTAAATTTTGTTTCATTTCATTGCTGAGAAAAAATGCATAGATTTTTTAAAAATTTTTACTCGCTGATGAATTTATTCTAATAAAGTCACGACTTTATATTTTAGCTATTTTTCAAATATATGCTGCTGAAAAAAATGAATCGGAAATTAATCTTAATTGAATAAATCAAGGGGTAAAAACGCTAAGAAAGCAAAAATATAACTTAAAATTCAAAATAGAGAGGGAAGAGGCCTTTTAATAAACATTTTTTATAGTGCAGTCCGGTTAGACACAAAATAAAAATGAATAACTTGTGCAGTTTAGTATAAATAATTATTAATCAATCTGTAATCCAAGATTGTTCTTAGAGTCTTAACAAATTTCTGTTATAGTTACTTGGTTCACTGCTCAAAAATTTTTATTGGGTTATTTTTCAAACACTTTTGTGCTACAGGAAGATAAAAAATTAGACTTTGACAATTGAATACAAGATGCAATGCAGAAAGTTTTATGTGTTTACAATTCAGTTCTTCGAATTTATTACCTTGCCTGGTGGTTTGGAAGAAAGTCGAACTAAAATCTGGACACCTTGTAAGTGCTATAAATATTACTGTACGCTGCACACCTGTCATGTACTTTCAAGAAATCCGAATAAAAATAAGGCACAAATGATTCACTATTTGGACCATAGACAGATATAACATTGTTGTGATATTCTACTGTATAGTCTGCCTATGGTAACAACTCCCTCCCGCCACAAATTTTGAGAATAGCGTATTTTAGAGCTTCTCTTTACTCTAGGGCTTACACATTAGGCCGAAGAAAAAAGTTCCCTCTCTTGCTGACAAGAGCCAAAACCTGCACTAAGCAGTTAAGGTGTCTACACACCGAACGCAACAGCGATGCGAAACACGATTTTCCCCCTCTGTTGCAGTGTGTCTGTTGCAAGTGATTGCATGCACCTTCACACCGCATGCGACAACAAACCTGTTTCCTGGCTAGCGTATGCGCACTTTTCTTCTGTATCTAGTTTTTGTTCCACAGCTCATTTTATCGTTATTTTTTGTATTTAAAAATTTTTTTTATACATATGAATTACTTTTATATTTATATTACTTTATGATTTCAGTACAAGATGCTTCATAAATTGTCGAAATAAACTTTGCGTCACATTTTTACAAATACTGTATCGATAATTTATACAAAATTATTTATTTTTTATAATTTTTGTCTTATAATTTTGTCTACTAATTTTTAATACTTAACTAATCTTTTTATGGAAAAAAAATGCATTTTTTCTGTATAAATTTTTCCGACTATAACACGTATTTTTATTTTGTTAAATAAACTAAATTGCTGGAATATTAAATAATTCAAATTAAAAAAGTTAGGGAAAATGAAAAACAGAAATTATTTTATTATCAAAAGGTCTTGTTAGGAAAAATATTTTTTTTCAGAACATTGTTGTGAACAATATTTTAAATATTACAAATATATCAAGTTTGCAACTTAACATTTTATATAACTAACTAACTAACTCAGTGGCGCGACAGCCCATTAAGAGGGCCAAGGCCGACTGTGCCCATCTCAGTTTTCTTGACCTTGGGCTCTGGGGTGCAGGAGCATATGTTCCGGTCAGGTGGTCAGCCGAACGCGGAACCCCCAGTGTTAGTTCCCAAGCATGCTTGGTACTCATTTTATCGACCCACTGAAGGGATGAAAGGCTGAGTGAACCTTGCCCGGCCCGAGGATCGAACCAGGGACCTGTGGCACGACAGCGCGAAGCGCTACCGCTCAGCCACCGGGCGTCTAACATTTTATATAGACATGATAAAAATGAATTTATTTCCATATGCAAATGCTTCAATATAGTTTTTTTCTTACATTCGCAAGTTGATAGGAATTTATGACATTAAAATTTCACTTTACGGAATTTCCGAGTGGAGCCATTTACACAACATTTAAAAATGGACGCCTTTTATTATTTAGTGACCCTACTACTTTATGAGAAGTACAAGAATGTGCGGGTGTTTTTCTTTTTTCATTTATGTTTTACTTTTGCATAAAATAACATTTTCCAAAAATTTTATAAAAAAAAGGATTACATCGCGTTTTGAATATGCTACATTTCTTTTTCCTGCTGAATGGTACTGTCGCATTAAGCCAGGCATAGTCAGTCTGACAGAACCACTGGTAGCTATATTTTATAACACTCCAAATAAAAATTCCTGGAAGATTGGTTATGGTACCTCAGCTATCAACAATAGACACATGAAGACTATGGCATAACAAAAATTTTATTTGTAATTTCTGTTCTTGAAACTGGTTCATTCACTTAATTGGCGATAAATTCCAAATATGTTCCTTAGCTTCCTTGATTTTCTAAACTCCCGAAAATTTCTCAGAGCAGTAAAATCAAATTATTATTTTTGTTTCTATAAAAATATTCAAGTAGGAAAAAAGGCGTTTTTTCCCATCATTTCTAATATACCCAATTTTATCCGATAGTGATGAACAATACCTTCCATAGAATAACCAATTTACACTAAAAAAAATACAGCTTTTTTTGTTCTATAAAAATGGTTTATTTTTTAAGCTAAAGATCGATCTGATTTCATGCAAGTAAAAATTTAAGCGATTCTGTTTATGAAGTTGATTATAAAAAGAAAATTTAAGGACCCTGTTTTGAGCACCATTGCCGTATTTATAAAATTTTATATTATCAGAATTTCGTACGAAATTTTTCAAAACTTTTCATTCAAAATTTTAGTTTTTGTAATAATTGCCCATTGATGGTCCCTTCATCAACCGAGAGTAGAATTGAAATTAAAATAATTTTTGTCACAATTAATGACAGTTTCAACTAAATAAAAAAGTTTGCCTTTTTCTCTTTAGCGATTGCTTTGCATTTCATTTATGAACTTTACTTCATAACTTTTCGAAAATCTTTTCTAATAAAACGAACGTTCTAATTTTTAATAATAACTACTTTTTAATAGCAAATAAAAAATTAAAAAATTTGTTCTTCTAGAAAAAATATATAATTAAAAATTATTAAATAAAAAATAATTAATTAAAAAATACTGCTTTCTAATCTTTTAGCAACGCTAAAATGCTGCCACCTTTTCCTTATTTCGCTGAACATTTTATTTTTTATTTTTAATGAATCAAGAGTAACGCTTTAATTTTTTATTCATGGTTTAATAAAATCACTTTAAAGTTATCTTAACTAGCATAAAAAGAATTAATTTAAAAGGCTTGATATTTATTTGAATGTCAAGTTATGCTCTGGCAAAATTCATAAATGATTCTCTGTCTAATTGACTATTAATAGTTATTTTACTACCACTCGAGAATATCTGCAATAAAGAGCAAAAAAAAAAAAAAGCGCAAACAAATATGTATTTAAATATATATTCTGTTCACTTGTGCATGAACAATTAAAAATGTGAGGAATACACTAATTGTAGAAGAAATTTATACTATTAGTTTTTTGCAATTAATTCAAAATACTTTTAGAGAATTAATTAAAGAAAAGCATCTATTCAATGCATTTTTCATAATTAACAAAATGCACTAAAATAGCTTAAACCTAAATGAGATTAGCAGATTAATCCCACTTTAGAATTTTAAAAATTTATCTCAGGAATTTATGAAATTAGAAACACTGTTTCTAAATCAAGACCTATCAATATGTATTTTTAATCAATGTATTTAAAAATTTATATTATTTTATATATTTTTAATAAAAATTTCAACGAAGATTTATATAAATAAGAACATTTAAAATACATTTTTGCAATAAAAATGTCTTTTAATGTAAAAATCTTTCAAATATATTCAAGTATTTTATGTAAACATAAGTCACTATGTTCTGAATGACGTTAACATTAAAATCATACGTGATTTCATCGTATTTTCCCTTTGAGAATAGAAATATATAGGAATCGGATTGACTCTCTGAGTCTGCAACAGCGACGAAAATTGAACTCCATCCAATTCTTGAAACCAGTGCGACGGCGATC